AGGGAGCGCCACCTCCCTCCCGCCGCAGCCGTGGAGTGGCGGGGGGGGGGGGAGGGCATCGCACGTGGCCTCCCGGTGGAGGGGGCCCCGCCTGGGCCCCACTCGAGGGGGAGGGCCCTGCGGGGAGGGAGAGGGGCCCCATGCCGCATCTCGCCGCCACTCGCTGCCCAGGCACCCTCATCGTGCAGCTACGAGGATTACTGAACTGAATGGCTCTGGGTATGCCAGGACACCGAGGTTCCTTCAGTTCAGTCATCTTCGCCCCCCAGTCGCCACGGAGACGCTCAGGGGCCAGATCGCTGAGCTGAAGGATCTCAGGTTGCGTATTTTGTTGTTCCCCGATGGATGTCGCACTCCTCGTCGTCGTGGTTGCGCGGCGGGTGTCGTAGACACACAAATGCCGAGTTGCCCCTTCCGGCTGGGACCCCGGTTCTTCAATGAGGCCGCCGGCAAAAGAGTCAGTTACCCCCGATTGGTGGCACCCCAGTCCTCCAAGACGGCCGCCGAAGCAGTGATCAGCGTGCCCCTCGCGGACCTCCTGCCACTCCTCGTCGCCCGGGCTCCGAGCTCAGCAAGAGGGGTGCCCTGCTCGTCCGACGGCCCGGCTCCCGCCCCGAAGGGTCACGTGGAGCGCTGCCACTCGCTCTCGCCCTTCCTCTGCGGCTTTCCGCCTCGGCCCCATCTCGACCAGGCTCACATGGACCCCCATCACCCTTCGGGAGGCGACCCCAAATTTCGGAGGGCCACAAGCATCAGGGACAGGGAGTCTCTGCTACAGACGACGTGTCGAGCCAAACCACCCAGATCTGTTACCCCTACTGCAAGGACGAGGCCCCCTCAGTGAGTGGGGGGGGGTCTAAAGACCCCTCCGGGCACTGCGGGCTGCCGCCCTGCCCCGCGCGCCGCCGCCGAGGTCACGGACTGGGTCACCGCCCAGCACGTCGCCCCGCACCTCCACGAGCGGCTGCGCCTGCTGGAGGCTGAGGCCGAGAGCGCGGAGGCCCCAGCGGCGGTGCTTCTCATCCTCCTCCTCATCCTCCTCCTCCTCCTTCTCCTCCTCATCCCTCCTCCTTCTAGCGTCTCAGAGAGGATCAAGGACTCCTCTCTACGCTGGTCTCCGCCCTCCTCCTCCTCTTCTTCTTCCTCCTCCTCCTCCTCCTCCTCCTCCTCTCTCCTCCTCCTCCTCCTCCTCCTCCTCCTCCTCCTCCTCCTCCTCCTCCTCCTCCTCCTCCTCCTCCTCCTCCCCCGCGGCCCCGCCGGGAGGGCCCCTCCCCTCTTGGGCCCACCTCGGAGAGCACCACGGGCTTGGAGCAGGCACGAGCTGCAGGGGAGGGCCTTCTGAGCAGGAGCATCGAGGAACACGCACATCGAGTGGGGGATCAGCTACAGAATTGATGTACCCCACCCCAGGATTCATGTCCTCGTCGGATCTATCGAAAAATGCGTAGCGTATTCGTACTTCGACGGAACAATATTTGAACTTGTTCGTGGATTCGATTGGGAAATCAATGTCGGGCTAAATCAACGTTGTAGTCGATTCCCTACTCGAATACAGTCGGACCGAGGTATAAGGTCCAGGTCGGTTCGGGGAGGGTGCCCTGATGTTCTTCGTGTTTGTTGGATGCTCTTGTGCATCCTGGGGGAGCATGGTAGCCTTGGCTGTTATTTGTGTGTGTTGGCCGGCGGAGAGTCCTGTGCTCTTGAAGGATGTTAGTATGGGCCAGGTCCGATTGGTACTGGCATAGGCAAGATCTGTCGGAGGTCCCCGCGGACCTCCCAGCGCATGCCTGTGCCCAGAGCTGTTCCTCGAAAGGTTAACCCTGAGATCCTCGCGCCGCAGTGTGTTTTTTTCCCGCAGCGGGGAACGTTGCCTGTATTGTCTCGGGCCCCGGGACCCTCATGGATCGATCGGGCACGAGACATGCAGCGGAAAGATGGGGCCTGGGGCTCCAATCGCGACCCCAATCAGGGGAAAGCTTCCTGAGTCACCTTGGGAAGCAATTCTCGAACCCTCCCAGCGGAAACAGCAGCACGAGAACGAATTGACTAACCGCTAAAGGTCTTGAGTTTGGGTTGCCACCCCCCTTTTTATCTCGGCGGTGAATAGGACTGGTCCTAACACCGCCTCCGCCTCCTTCTCCCTCCTCCTCCTCCTCCTTATCATCATCATCCTCCCTCTCCTCCTCCTCCTCCTCCTCCTCCTCCTCCTCCTTCTCCTCCTCCTCCTCCTCCTCCTCCTCCTCCTCCTCCTCCTCTTCCTTAGGAATGGCACGAGGAGGAGGAAGGAGGAGTAGGAGGAGGAGGAAGATGCGGGTGCCGCGTAAAAAAATAGCAGTTACCACTCATTGGCGGGACCCCAGTCCTTCAGTACGGCCGCCGAAACATGATGAGGTACCCACTTACTGGGGGGATTTTGAAAACCTTCCTAGGGGCTAATCAGCAGCAGTAGAGCGCATTCATGTCACACCTGACGGGGAAGCCGCCGAGCGGTATCGTCTAGCACCCCGACATATGATCGATCGTTGGCGAGCGTCGATCCCAAGCAGCGTATGTTCTAGCAACGTGTGTTGTGCAATCTCTATGGAGCAATCTGCGTGGCGCAATCTGTGTGGTATAATCAGTGCTGTGCAGACAATGTTCGGGGATATACATGGTGAAATATTTATAGTGTGAAGCCATCATCAAGCAGTCTATGTGGTGCAGTCTAAGTGATGCAGGATATGTGGCGCTATCTATGTTGCGCAACCGCTGTGGAGCGATACCTATAAATATATATATATATATATATGCATCTGAATATACGTGGTGCGATCTAAGCGGCGCAGTTGTTTTTGAACAGACGAATTGACACATCCCCTGCTCTTGCAGACATCCCTCCCGCCCACCCGTAACTTGGTTTGCAAACCCATGCGGCGGCGATTGCGATGTATGCTTGGCGTTGGTTGGTGCATCTCTGCGGCCGCGCCAACCCAAGCACGCGCGAGCAGCGGCCAGCTAGTAGTTTGGCGCGACCGACGCGAACGCGGTGGCGCTGACCGTTCGGCACATCCCAGCGGGCATTGCAGTGCGAGTCGTCGACTTGGGCGGGCGCGGTATCATGGTAACGTCGACAACGGGGCAACGGTAGACACGATGATGATAGTAACGATGCTGCTGGCTATGTTGATTGTGGCGACGGGGCAACCAGTGACGGCGCCGATGCTGATCACGCCGACGACGATGACGGCGTCTTCGCGTCGGTGACGACGGTTTGGGAAGGAGTTCGACACGCGCACGCGGCCGACGCGCGAGAACGGCCGCATGGTCTTATTTGATACGGATCGTGCCACTCCAGCACGCGCGCAAGAGCGTTCAAATGATTTCGACCTACTCGCGTGCGAAGCCCGTGTGGCAACATGTTGTGAAAACGACGGAAAGAAAAGGATCGTTTGTTTAAGAATTTGCAAAATCGCGCAAGTTGTTTTAGGAAATCCCTTTTGCGAAATCATGTGTTCTTATATGTTTTGGGCACTCGATTTTGAAGTCCTTACGAAACCGCGGGTTCTTGAAGGATTCCGGCACTCGCGCGCGACAACGCCCGCGTGTGCACTTTGTTCGCTTCGTTTACAAGGGATTGTCGAAAACGTGTGACTTGTCATAAGCGAGTGCGCGCGCATAGTAGCTTCTGTTGCAGAGGATGGGGGGGGGGCGATACTGGCCTGGTTGGGATGGTATGAGTTCGTATTTCGGATGGACGATGGGGCAGAGTGATAGGTCAAGTGCAATACCAAAAGGGGCGTCGATAACCCCAGTGGGGTAGTCTATTCTTTTTCAAACGGCAAATCTATGTGGTGCGCAATTTATATGGTGCCACCTATGTGGGCAACTCCACCGCTCGCTCAAACATCCCACTCACCTATCCGCAACTTGGTTTGCAAAACCCACGCGACGTCGATTGCGATGATTGCTTGGCGCTGGCTGGCGCATCGCTGCGGCCGTGCTAGCGCGCGTAGGCTCGCGCGGACAGCGGCCAGCTAGTCTGGGGCGACCGACGCGGCCGCGGTGGCGCTGACCGTTGGGGGATTTCCCGGCGCGTCTCGCACGCCGCGCTGGCGCGCGAGCGCTTGAGTGCGAGGCGGTGACTTCGGGCACTCGCGGTATCATGGCGGCGCCGATCAAAGCAGACACGATGATGTTAGTAGAGATGCATATGACGATTGTGACACCGACGACGGTGAGGACAATGACGGCGCCGATGCTGATCACGCCGATGGCGATCATGGTGTCCACGCGTCGGTGATGAAAGTTTTGACCGGATTTCGACATTCGCGTGCGGCCGGCGGGCGCGAGTGGCCCGCATGGTATTATTGAATCGCTTCGTTCATTCCGCCGGCCCGTGATCTGGCATCGCTGGTTTTTGTCTGTGTGTTCGTTGCCCATGTTGCGCTCTTGGGGGCGGGTGTCGTTCGGACGCGTTGCGTGGGGAGTTTTGATGGTGAAGCAGTTCCCTGGGGGTCGTCTCTCGATGGGGCGAAATAGAGTCGTCGTCAAGATGCTTCTTTGGGGGGCCTCTTGGGGTCTGTTGAGAGGCCGTTCGGGGGCGCCTGGGAGACATGTTTGAAGCCTTCTGGGGCTTCTTTTGGGCCTCCTGGGAGTCTCCTGGGGCCTCTTGGCGACATCTTGGGGCCTCTTGGAGGCCTCTTGGGGCCTCTTTGGGACCTCCTGGGCGCCTTCTGGGACGGAGGGCTCCATTTTTGAGTTCTCGGTATCCCTCCTGAGTCCCTCTTGGGCCCGTCTTGGGGCCTCTTGGTCCGTCTTGGGCGGCACTTGGGCCGTCTTGAGGGCTCTCTTGGGTCGTTTCGGCGCCGTCTTGGGAGCTTCGTGGGCCGTCTTGGAGCGGTCTTGGGGGCCTCTTGGGCCGTCTTGGAGCGTCCGGAAGCCGAAAAAGCCAGAACACAAAAAACATCGAAAAAACCAATGAAAATCAACGATTTTGGCCTCTTGGGGCTCTCTTCGGAGGCCTCTTGGAAGGCTCTTGGGGCGTCTTGGAGGCCTCTTGGGCTGTCTTGGGGGCCTTTTGGGCCGTCTTGGGGTCATCTTCGGCGTCTTCGAGCGCTCTTTGGGCGTCTCGGGGGCCTCTTGGGCAGTCTTGGGGGCCTCTTGGGGCACTCTGAGCGCGCTCTGGGGAGCCTGAGAGGCCGCACCCAGAAGGAAAACCATCTCTGAGTAGACTTGGTCGGGCGGCGACCGGGCGTTGGTCGGGGTACTTTTCGCCGGGGGACCCCCAGGGGCCGCCCCGCGCGCGCGAACTAGAAATACTGTTAATATTGTTAACCAGTTACCGGAGATCTTAGCACGCCCTGGCCCGTTGGGCCGGCGAATTTCAAATGGTGTGCGCTGGTCCACCGACCGTCATAATGAGTCAGAGCTTGCGACGATCGTGTGAATTTTCTAGTGGTCTTCGACCCAACCCGCCACCGTGCCTGGGCTGCGGGTCAGGAGCCTCTTGGATGAATGTGAAGGTCTCTGGGAATGCCTCTCAGGGGCCTCTTGGGGGCTTCTTGGTGGTGTCTTGGAGGCCTCTCCGGGCCTTTTAAGGGTGCCTCGGGGGCCTGTGGGGGCTCTTGGGGCCATCGTGGGGGGAAGGCTCGAAATATCAGTTCGCATTCCCCTCTTGGGCTTTCGTGGGACCCTCTTGGGGCTCTCTTGGGCCGTCTTGGGGGCCCTTGGAGCCCTCTCATGGCCCTCTTGGGCGGTCTTGGAGCGCTCTTTGGGGAGGGGTCTCTTGGCCATTCTTGGAAGCTGTCGGGGCGAATTGGGCGAGCGTGCTGAAATGCACGGTTGTTCCTCGGGAGTGGGGCGATTGTTGCCTTTGGGGGCCTTTTCGGCGGTCCTCTAGGATCACTTTTGGGCAGTCTTGGGGGCCTTGTGGGCCGTCTTTGAATCATCTTGGAGCGTCGTGGGGCTACTCTGGGCCGTCTTGGCGCTCTCCTCGGCTGTCTTGGCGCTCTGTCTGGGCCCTCCTGGGGCTTCTTGGAGCGTCTGGAGGCCCCCGGGGTGCACTGGCGATTTCGTATCCCCCCCCCCCTCCCGCTCCCGGCTGGGATTAGAGGCACTGGGGAGGGGGAAAGGGGAGGGGGGCAGTCAATCATTACACACGCCTCCTCACCCCCAGCAAGCGAGGGCCGGCGAAGTTAACAGGCATCGTGCCCGTCCAGCATGCGCGCAAGGGCGTTGGGGTGATTTCAACATGCGCGCGCGAGAGGCCCGCATGGTCGAATTTGATGGAAATGTTGAAATGCCTTCGGGTCTCTTAAGAATTAGCAAGAGCGCGCGCGCACACTTGTTTGAACAATCAGGTTGCCAAACCATTGGGTGTTGTTGAACCTATGTTCGTGATACCTTATCTTGAAGTCACAACGGAACCTTTTTTGGCTTATTTTGTTAAGGTGTTCGGCATACGCGCGCGTGTGCACGTCGTCACGTTTTGTTGTTAGGGATATTTGCTAAAGTATGGCATTCGATAAAGAAGAGCGCGCACCTTGTAAGATTGGACGAGGATGTGGGGGGTCGAGTTCGTCATGGCTGGGATGATATGAGCTCAGATGTGAAATTAAAGATGGGGTCCAAATCACATGTAATTTGCACTACGCGAGGCCGGCGTGGGGGAGGGGTAAATCCTAATGTTGTTCTACGTGGTGCAATGGTGCAATACATGCGGTGACGTGTCAGCGACGGCGATCACGTAGCCGCCAGACCGACACCCAGGCCCAGACGACGAGGCGGCGACGAGGCGGCGACGGGACGGCAACAGCGACCACGGAGCCGCCTGGCCCACTGCCGAATGACAAACAGATAAGAACCCCTAAGTGCAAGCACCGTCTGGGGAATTGAGTGAGTCCACGGGCGGGGGTAAGATGAGTAGAAGAGGAATCTTTTTTTGTGTTTTAGCGACGAACGACGACCGACAGCTGACGGACGACGACAACGACGACGACGACGACGGCGACGACGACGACGACGGATGACGACGACGGCGACGGCGACGACGACGACGACGATGACGGACGACGGCGACGACGACGACGACGACGACGACCGACGACCGACGACCGACGACCGACGACCGACGACCGACGACCGACGACGACGACGACGACGACGACGGCGACGACGACGACGACTACGACGACGACGGACGACGTTGACGACGACGACGACGACGCACTGTTGATGCTCCATGGGGGGCGGGGCTGCTGCGTGGTCCCGCCGTAGTGGACGACGACTGCTCGTCCCGACCCAAACTGGGGGAAAGCTTCCTGAGTACACAATGATACTGTCTCGAGCTTTCCCCACAAGAGCTCGAGGCAGGATGCCCAGGGTGCGATGACACGCTTCGGGCCTGGCGGCCGCGGGATGCGGTCGTCAGTCGTCGAGGGCACGATGCGAGATGTCCAGGGAGCGCCGGCACGCTTTGGGCCTGCGGCTGCGGTATGCAGGGCATGCGAAGCGGATCGGGAGCCCCTTTCTTTGTATCTATCTGTATCTAACAACCCCAGCTTGTTTCGTTGGGGAACTGAGCAAGGGAGGCATGGCTTTGCGTCGCTTGGCATTGCTCGAGCGGGCAACCCCGAGCACCCCCGGCAACCGGGAGAGCAACCCAGGGAGCGCCGAGTGCCGCCTCCCTCGTGGGGGCGTTCGTTGAGGAGTGTGCCCAGGAGGCTTCAGACCCTCGAGGGTTCCTTCTCTGGTGAGGGCGGTGGTGATGTCTATGGCCAAGCCTCAATTCGAGTTCCACCGGCTTCCAGACCCAGGTTTCCTTATCCACTGGCTCCTCAGAGGCCGCAAGGCGATCGCCAGCAGGGCCGAGCGTGCTGCCATCGCGGCGCGGGAGGGGAGCGGCCCGTGGGCTCTTTTCCTCCTCCGCGGGGGACGTGGCGACCCGCCGAGAGCGCCAGGGCCACCAGCGGGAGGTGCCGTCGACGCGTGAAAGTCCTCGGACGCGGAGAGATCAGATATGCCCTGCGCCGGCCCGAGAGCTCCGCGCGGACCTCCGACGGCTGCTGCTCGAGCCCCCGCGGCCCCCGCAGCAGGGCCCCTCTCGGCTCCGGAGTGCCGCTTCGCTGTCGGCTTCGGTGGCGCCCGGTGCCGATTCGATTCGCCTCCGGATTCCGCCCGGAGCCCGATGTCTCAACGGAGGCCTAGGCCCATACTAGCCTGCCGGTGTCCGCCGATGCGGCGCCTCCCGGCTCGGCTGCCGACTTCTGCCGCTCCGATTCGTGTCGATCGCCGCTCCGACTCATCGGTTCGATGCTGGGCCCCCCTGAGGCAGGCAGACGCGACTGAGGGGGCCGGCGAGAGCCCGCGGTGTGCTCGAGGTAGAGTCGCGCTGCGTCGACGCGGCGGCGGCCTTGGCGCGGGCGTTCAGGGCTGAACGCCGACGGCGGCCCGGAACCCGCCAATCTCGAAGGATCGGCGTTGGCGGGAATGGTATAGGGCGTCGGGCTGTGCGCAGGCAGGCCCCCCACGTAGTCCTGGGTGGCCCGGTGCAGGCAAGCCGGGACAACCTCGGGGGGCTGCCTGTGCGCAGCCCGATATCCTTGCCACCTGCGCTGTCGGAACGCTGCGATTCCCCCAGGCGGAGCGATCCCACGCGGAGTCCGAAGCCAGCGCCGAGGCCATCGCGGCACTGCCCTGCCGTGTGCGTTTTTTGGGGGGCTCGAGGCTCGGTTCCTAGACCTGTCGGACCACTGTAGTTGGGTGCGCGATTCGGGCGTTGCGCGTCCACACTTGAGCGTGCCAGTTGCGCTCCATGCTTTTTTGATCTACGCGCATGCTCGTGCATCGCTGACGGCGGTAATACTGCTGCCCTGACAGCGCAAGCAATTAACACGTCATCGAGCTGCGACCGTAGCAGTAACTCCCTGATGCTCTGGTAGAAGGCCTGCACCACATCCATGAACAGCACACCGTACGAAGGATTGCTGAGGTGGGCACACCGCTGTGCGATCCCAACGATGAGCGACGCCTGAGTGGTGCCATAATCTGGTAGGGAGGAGGGAGAGAAGGGAGGAGGAGCAGGAGTGTGGAGGAGGATGAGGAGGGAAATGAGGGAGGAGGAGGAGGAGGAGGAGGAGGAGGAGGAGAAGCAGGAGGAGGAGGAGGAGCAGGAGGAGGAGGAGGAGGAGGAGGAGGGGGAGGGAGCAGGAGGAGGAGCAGGCTAGCAGGTGCCGACTCCGCCGCGGCAATGCTTGGGCTCGGCGTCCCCGCCTTCCTGGGCGGGCGCCCTTGGAGGCCCGGAGCGGGCCCCGCAAAAACCCAAAGTTGGCTCCTCGAACCTCGAACTTCGGTCTTCGACGCCGACGATGCAGACGCCGACGACGAAGACGACGACGACGACGCCCACGCCGACGCCGGCGCCAATAACGTCCAGACCTGGCGTTGGGCGCGTTATTCATTCTCCCCTGTCCGATGCGGGAACCGCATCTCTTTGAAAGCTCGACCGGAATTGCGAGGCGGATCCAGCCGCTGCCACTCCACGAGGGCGCCCCCAGGGTGTTCAAAATATCCCGGGCGTCCGATCACGTCGAACTTCGAACCTCGACGACGACGACGACGACGACGACGACGACGACGACGTCGTCGTCGACGACTACGCTGACGATGTCCCGGCGGCCCCCAGGGCCGGATCCGACGCCTCAAGCCGGAGGCCTTCCATGAAGCAGGCGGGGGCTGCCGCGACCTGCCCGTCGGAAAGGCGCGCCAGGGGCCGCCGCGCCGAAGTGCTGGGAGGAGGTGGGGCTTCTCAGAGGGAGGAGGAGGAGGAGGAGGAGGAGGAGGAGGAGGAGGAGGAGGAGGAGGAGGAGGAGGAGGAGGAGGAGGGGGAGGGGGAGGGGGAGGGGGGGGGAGGGGGAGGGGGAGGAGGAGTTGCGTAATGCGCGTTTCTTCCCCGACCAGGTGAGCACATACTCCACGCCCTAGCGGGTTTACTATTATTGTCCCGTGTTTTCTCTGCCTGCATTTGTTTCTGTTGCGCTCACTTAGGTCTGTTTGCTGGCCATTGTGCCTAAGTCGGTTTCACCACCTTGTTCATTGCGGGTCGGTTTCGCCACCAAAGTTTGCCAGACGCAAAAAGGAATTTCGTAACCCACCGCGTGGCGGAACGCTCCGTGCCTCTCTCGTAAAAGGTGTTGCGTTTGCGCTGGCCTTGCCTGGGGCCGACCACAACAATGCACGAACGAAAGGAGGTTCAAGATCATGCTTCGTGCGCTCATCCGTGGGCTACGCAAAGCGGTATCACCAGAAAGCCCACGTGAAGCCCAGCGAGAGTTCACAAAATTGCTGCACTATTCGAATCTTCTGGTCATACAGCTCGAGCGAGTCCCAAGCCAAAGCCCACTTCAAGAAAGGAGCCGCCCGTCGCCCGCTGGGCTTTGAGGCACGATGAGAACGGATTGGAGCAGATGTGCGCAGCGCAGCGGCGGGAGCCACACGTTGAAAAGGATGTGCTGCCCTTCTGTTTCATTGTAGGATGTTTTGACACGATCGTGCGCGGCGCTGGGGGTCCGGATTTCGAAGACCGCTCGACTTCCCCTCGCGGCTGCTGAGAAGCTTGCACACGAGCCTGCGCGGCGCAATGGCGAGAGCCGCAGGTTGAAAACAGGTAGCCCTCCACCCCGTGGAGCTGAATGAACACGCGGTTGCGTGCGCGCCCGGCGCTCAAGCGAGAGCCACAGCTCGGAAGCCAGTCGCCGTACAGCACTGCAGCTGGCGGGAAGTTCGACCTTCAGAATCATGCGCGCTGATGAGGTCTCAGGCGACATCGCCGGACCGCACTACAGTGGAGACCCATGCCAAGAAACGCCTTGCTTGCCTCCAGGGTGCCCTGGGTCTCTTGGATTTCGATGTTAGTCTCCAAATAGGCTTGTCCAAATAAAAAATCTTAGCTCATCAGAAGTAAATGGCACCCCCCCTTTTTCCAATGGCACTTGCTTGCCTGCTCTTGCGTGCTTGCTCTTGCTTGCTTGCTCTTGCTTGCCCTTGCTTGCTTGCACTTGATCGCTGGCTCTTGCATACTTGTTATTGCTCGCTTGCCCTTACTTGCTTCCGCTTGCTTGCTTGAGCTTGTTTGATGTTGCTCCTCCCGTTCTCCTCCCGTCCTGCTCCCGTCCTCCTTTCGTCCTCCTCCCATCCTCCCCTCGACCTCCTCCTGTCTTCCTATCTATTTGGAGTCAATGCTGGCTGATATTGCGATGACGTCCGACACCAACAAAAATCAATGGACGTCCTGGGGCTCAGATTTGGGTTTCTTAGGGAAGGTTTCTTGTGGTCGAACTCCTACTGTATCGAGACAAGGTTGGCGGTTCGATGTAGAAAGGGTTGGGACGAGCAGGGCATGGACGGTGGGCAGCATCAGCAGGGGTTGGAGGAGGAGGGGGAGGAGGAGTGCCGGCGGAGGGGGGAAGGAGGAGAAGCAGGGAGAGGAGCAGAAGGAGGAGGAACAGGCGAGGGGCAATGGGGTGGGGGGAGTGGAACAGAAGGGGAAGGTAAAGAGAAGCAGGAAGATGAGAAGCAGCATGACCAGAGAGCGAGGGGCGAGCAGATCGGGAGGGAGCGAACGGGAAGGGGGAGGATCAGCATCAGTAGCAGGAGCGAGCTCGAGGAAGAGGAGGTCAGCAGTTTGAGCACGCGCAGCTGGAGGGGGGGAGCGGGGAGCCAGGGCCGGAGGCGGAGGAGGTGCTGGGTGTAGCGACGATGGTTTTGGCGATGATGGCGAAGGCGACGGCGGGGCCAACGCCGTTGGAACAGCGATGGTGCGAGGGCGACTGCAGTGTCGGCAACGGGGCAATAACGATGGCAGAGAAGAGAGAAGGTCGACATGGCGATGCATAACCTCAGAAGGTTTTGAACACCCCCCAATAATAGGCAAACAATTCTTTGATGTCGGGGACGGATTGAGGGTTTCTGACACCCAACAATAATCGGAGAACCGTGGGACGAGCAGAGCGTATTGTCAGCCATGAGCTTTGGGGGGGGCGGTAGGAATAAAGCCCCCTTGCGGCCACGTCGAGACTCGAGACCGCCACAGCACCACAGGGAAGCAGCGCATAGCGCGCAGCCAGTGCGTTGGGCACATCAGCGATGGGCGGAGTCCTAGAGCCCTCCGGGACGATGCCGAGAGAGCGCGAGCGGGACCCGATCGTGCTCCTAGGCTTTGGCGCGGTGGTGTTTCTGTTGCTGCTCTCGGCGTGGACCCCAGGAGCCCTCGGTCCTCTCCGCGGGGGGGGGGCGGGGCAGCCCGCTCTCTCGCCGCGGGCCCCAGTGTTGATCTGTTGTGGCCGCCGGGGGCCGAAAGACTCGCCTCGGAGGCCGAGGTCTCGTCGGCAAAGCGCGGGGGGGCTCAACAGAACAGTCCTGCGGGGGTCTGGGTCCCGGGGGCCTCCGCGGAAAGGAGGAGGAGGAGGAGGAGGAGAAGGAGAAGGAGGAGGAGGAGGAGGAGGATGAGGATCGAGGAGGAGGAGGAGGAGGAGGAGGAGGACGAGGAGGAGGAGGGGGAGGAGGAGGAGGATCGAGGAGGGAGAGGAGGAGGAGGAGGAGGAGGAGGAGGAGGAGGAGGGGGCTTGACTGACCGACTGCCACCCGGAGTGCCGAAGTCGCCTGGGCGGTCAAGAATGTTGCTTCAAGACGTTCCTCGGAGGCGAGCTCGGGACTCGGGACATCGCCCCGAATTCGAAGCCCCACGGCACGGCAAGCCTGTATAAGGCACGAGCCTAATTATTGGGCGGGCCGCTGGGTCTGGGGCGACGATTGCAGAGTCGTCGCGACTCCAGGTTCGCCAGGAGGAGGGGGAGGAGGAGGAGGAGGAGGAGAAGGAGGAGGAGGAGGAGGAGGAGGAGGAGGAGGAGGAGGAGGGAGGAGGAGGAGGAGGAGGATTGCCAAGCTCTCTGTAGGCTTGATGGGGGCCATCTGTAAGGATAGGGTGGCCATCGGAGAAATAGTGGAGACTCTGCATCTGCAAGGTGGCCAGAGGTTGGTAGCTGGCCGCCAGCAGGACGCATCCTTAAGAGTCTCAGGTGCGACAGAAAGGCACTGGCCACTGGCTGCGGCCATGGGTAAGAGTGGGGCCATAGACCCCGACCCATGAGGACGAGGAGGCCTCCCAAATCCTTCAGAGGTCTAGAAGGCAGCCTCCAGAGGTGAATCCATGAGGGGGTTTGGAAGAAATTAGCGAACACTCATACCGCATTCATCTGTCAATGCCCCCCCAACGATCAATGTTGGCGGTGGGTTTAATGAGTTGCACTTCGACCGCAGTCTTCCCCGCGCGTGCCAACTTTGAGTTTGGGGGAGCGGGGGAGTCTCCACCTATCGTAGCGCCCCGCGGCCTCAGACTCCCGATGGCCCAGGAGGGGCCGAGCACATCCAACACAAATTTCGGCGCGCGGTCGTCTATCCCGATTTCTTTCGCAGCGCCCAGATGTGGGCCCAGTGTTGCTACAGTTCGACTGCATCGCCCCCAAAGTAGCACCGCGCGGACCCGCAAGACTACCGCACTACTGGGCCCGGCGCGCTGGCGCACCGAAATGCCATTGCTCACCAGTGCTGGCACCCACGGCCGCTGCCATTACCCTCAAGGGGCTCGGATGCTGAACCGAAGGATTTCAGGGGCTCGTACTACCCAAAGATCCGATGCACTGCGTTCTGTTCAATCCGAGGCATTGAATGTTTCAATATGGGTGGTCTTTTCATTCCGGCCATTGGGGGCCGTTCTCTTGCTCCGGGACTACCAAAAGTAGACATGAGACAAACAATTGCCCCCAGGAAAGGGGTCGAGACCGCTGCATGGGGCTGCGGGCTGAAAAGTCGCATCGTCGGATGCCCGGGAAGCGTGGCCCGCAGAAGTCAGACCCCGTCCTTGTTTTTCACCCGAGCCTTTTCGCTGGCGTCCCCGCGGCGAGGGACCCAAGAAACTCCCGCCGTGACTTGTTCCACGACGCGAGGAGCTCTTGGTTTGGGAGGCTCTCGCAGCATTGCCCTGGGCTTTCGGCGAACGCTCGGGGCGGATGGGCGCCCCTGCTGGAAAGCCTGAACCGACGAGAGCTTCGGACACCTTCGGACTTCGAACCTCCAACAACAGGAATGGGGGGAAGGGTGGGGATCCAAGATCCGCCCCCAGACATGCCCTCGAGCGCGCTCTGGACAGAATTCGCACGGGGACCCAGCCGTGGCGACGAAAAGCTTCCACGAGACCCAAGCAAATAGCGAAATGGATTTTGATCCTCAGCCTCCTCCTCCTCCTCGATCCTCCTCCTCGATCCTCTTCCTCCTCCTCCTCCTCCTCAGCGATCCTCTTCCTCCTGGATCCTCGGTCCTCATCGATCCTCCTCCTCCTCCTCCTCCTCGATCAACCTCGTCCTCTTCTTCTTCTTCTTCGATCCGCGATCTCCGAGGTCTGCGCCCCAGGGGAGCGCCCGCAGGCGTCGTCCGGCGAGCCGCTCTTCCGCGGCAGCGGCCCTTGCCGCAGGGGCGCGCTCGGGCCCGTGTTCAAGTCCGACGTCGCCGTTTGCTTGCGCGAGCTCGTGTTCGAGGACGGCGCCCCTGCGCCTCCCCTCCCCCCCCTCCGCATTCCGCAATACATTGGGGGAGGTCTGATTTGGGGGGGAGTCTGACTGAGCTGTCTTGGAGTGTCCCGGGGGAGCTGCCGCAGCGGCTGAGCAAAAGGCCGGCTTTTCATGGCTGGTTCTGGGGAGGTCTGAAACGGCCCGTCTGAAGGGTATCAGACCCCCCTCTTTTTCTTACGGAATCGATAATTAATCACTAGTGCAGCCCGTCGCACATAGAATCAAGCAGCACAGCCCTCCGCACATGATCGAACAGTAAAACCCTCCAGAAACATAATCAGACAGTAAAGCCCGACACAATCGTGCCCCCCGCCTGATCGGGAGGCGGACGAGGGGGTTATGGGGGCCCGACTGATCACCGAGCGGGGTGCTCTGAGATCAGGCGTCTTGTAAGGCACACCAGAAACACATGACACCGCATAGCTTGCACAACATCTACTGCAGCACATCGTGCATGCAATAGCGCACGGCTGTAGCCCACGCTGGCAAACATTGAGATTGTTGCGCCCCCTTCGTTCGTCTCGCTCCGCGTACCGGTTAGACGCTCGCTGCTGCCCACGCCGAATTCTCATCCCGTTGCTGCTGCTGTCCGCCTCCGAGGGGCCCACAGTTGTGTCCTATCTCATCTTCCATTTCTCGCTCTCCCTCTCTCTCTTTCCCTCTCTCTTTCTCTCTCCCTTCCTCTCGCCGCCTTTCCAGGACCGCGCCACCCGAACGCTTCGCCGCTTCGTGAGGCGGATGCAGCACGTGCCCCTCAGCCACCGGAGGCAGCTCTGGGAGGTCGCCGAGAGGCTCCAGGCTGCGGCAGGAGAGTTGTTTGTTGACTTCTCGCTGTCGGAGAAGAAGACGACGGAGAAACTGCATTGAAGTTTGGAGATTCGTACGGATTTCCTAGATCGGAGCTGGACCCCCTGGCGCCTCCTCCGGCGCCGCATCTGGCGCGCTCCGCATGCCAGGGAAGGGGGGTCCAGCGCCGCTCCGAGAAGCGCGTTCGGACCTTCCGAAAGTTGTGATTATGCAGTTCTTGACTCGGCTGCCTAAGGTCAGCTTGCCATCGCTCTGCATGTGTAGATATGTGTGCATACATAAACATATTATTTCGCTTATATCCCAAGTCAACGCATGTATGCATGTGTATGTGTGTAGTTGTGTGTAGATACAGATGTGCACAGCCATACCTGCATGTATTTGTGTATAACTGTTTATGCGCATATGCCGATACACGTGTAAAGATTTGCACATATGTGCATATGAGCATGTAGTAGCATACACATGCATACGTATATGGATGTCCGTATGTAAACACATGTGTCTGCATGTGTGCATGTCGACGTAAGTGCCTGTGTGTGCATACGCCAGTGTAGAGTATCGCATGCAAGCATATGCATGCGTATATCCACATGCACATGCATGTGAATGTGTACACGCACGTGTATGTGTGAATGTATGTGCGTGTGTACATGGTTATGCACAGTATACGCGTGTGTATGTATATATATGGAATCGTTCACGTTAGACGTATATGTTGAGGTGAGTGTAGATGTTGGTGGATATGCAAATGCATATGTATACGGTAATATAGATGCAGCCGTGTATCTATATATATATATATATATCACATCGTAGATGTAGGTGTAACTATATATAGGTGGGTGTATAGTTATATGCATGTGTAAACGCACCTGTGTATGTGCATGCAAATGTCAATGTATATGTAGATGTACACGTGACTGTACACGTATGTATGTACGATGATGCGTGTTGGCTTGTGTTTCGAGGTACCGGCTTGCTTGCCATGGGGAGGTCACGGTACCGCAGAAAAGAGGATATTCGTTTTTGTTGCAGGCCTTTGCCGTCGCGTGTCCACCCTCGCCTCTATCCCTCCTGTTCCTGCGCCTTCTTTACGGTATACCCTCCTGCTCGCACGCGTTCTTCTTGCCCTTGCCCCCCTTGCCGCTCCTCATCCTCATCGACGTCCTCGTGTTCTCTGCTCCTTCCCCTCGTCCTCCTCGAGGCCTTCCTCATCCTCCTCATCTTCCATTCCTCGCCATCGCTCGTCGTCCTCCACCTCCCCATCCCCCTTCCCCCTTCCCCCCCCCCCCCTCTCCTCTCCCCTCCTCCTCCTCCTCCTCCTCCTCCTCCTCCTCCTCCCTCCTCCTCCTCCCTCCTCCTATTGCGAAGGCCTTACGGCCGGTGCCGCCGACCCTGTTCGCAATGCGCAGCAAGAGGCACGGGCTGTGGGATGGTTTTGGGGAACGGGGAGAAGGACGAGAAGGTGGGGGAGGGAGGTGTCGTATCTGACCCGGGACTTCCCCGGGACTCCCCCGGGACCCCCCCCGGGACCCCCCCTCCCCCCCCCGTCGGGGAAGGGAAAGGGAAGGGGCTTCCCTTCGACTCAATTACGACGTTGCTCAAGGTCGGTACGGGGGGGGGGCGTCGTATCTGACCCGGGACTCCCCCGGGACCCCCCCCGGGACCCCCCCTCCCCCCCCCGTCGGGGAAGGGAAAGGGAAGGGGCTTCCCTTCGACTCAATTACGACGTTGCTCAAGGTCGGTACGGGGCTCAACCCGGGACTCCCCCGGTCCCCCCCGTCGGGGAAGGGGGAAGGGGCGACTCGTTGCTCAAGGTCGGTACGGGGGGGTCGTATCTGACCCGGGACTCCCCCGGGACCCCCCCCGGGACCCCCCCTCCCCCCCCCGTCGGGGAAGGGAAAGGGAAGGGGCTTCCCTTCGACTCAATTACGACGTTGCTCAAGGTCGGTACGGGGGGGGGGCGTCGTATCTGACCCGGGACTCCCCCGGGACCCCCCCCGGGACCCCCCCTCCCCCCCCCGTCGGGGAAGGGAAAGGGAAGGGGCTTCCCTTCGACTCAATTACGACGTTGCTCAAGGTCGGTACGGGGGGGCCGTCGTATCTGACCCGGGACTCCCCCGGGACCCCCCCCGGGACCCCCCCTCCCCCCCCCGTCGGGGAAGGGAAAGGGAAGGGGCTTCCCTTCGAATCAATTACGACGTTGCTGAAGGTCGGTTTGGCTAGCGCGCTTGAGGAGGAGGCCCTGGGAAAGGGCGAGGGGAGCGGGGAGGAGCCCAGGGGAAGAGGGGTACCAGGGAAAGGGAACGACAGAGACGACGATTACAAAGAATGACGGAGATGACGGCTCGAACGGAAAAGCCCCTCACACACGCCGACAGGGTCGGCGGATTTTGTCCGTTGGGCGAACTGAAGCGTCTAGACTGGAGCGTTCTGCCTCCTCCTCCTTCTCTTCCTCCTGCATCCCACTCTGCTTCGGAGCCCCCCGTTGCCCCAGCCCGCGTACGACAGCAAAAATAAAGCGCCCGGCTCCCAGGCACGGCCCCGCGCGGCTCAACGAGAGCGTCGCCGCTCCCCCTGAAAAGGGTCGCGGCCTCGGCGCCCTCGTCTCGCGGGGGAGCCGCAGCCGGAGCGGAAGCGCCGGCCCTCACTCGAAGAGCTCAAAGCGGCATGAATAGAAGCTTTCGAAGCTCCGCGCTTGCCAGGGAGGGGGGGGCGCCAGGGCAGATCCAAGAAATGCGCGCGGAGTGCCGAAAGTTCATGCCTCCCCCCCCCCCCCCCGAGGCCGCTGGGGCACATAGCTACCTCGCCCCCAGGAGGATCCTCCTTGCGCTACGTTCCCAGATCCCCTCGAGTCATGAGCAAAAACACGACGGAAGGTTTTCAGCTACTGTCGGCCTCCGTCCGGGGGCCCTTACTGGGCCTCGGATGGACAAAAAAACGACGGAAGGTTTTCAGCTCCTGTTGGCCTCCGGGGGCCCTTACCGGGCCTCGGGACCGTCAAACAATTTTTCCGATGAAGAACTCGTCCCGGGGAGTGGGTCGAGACTTCTGGGGGTCGACGTCATGCAACAATCACGGCGTCGGAGGTCTGGCTTCGTGGCCCTTTTTCTGCTCTGCAGGCCCTCTGCGATCCCCCCCCCCCTCGGGCCGGCCTCCCCTGAGGGGGGGAGGGGGGGCAGCATGTCTGGAGGGTCCTTCTGATGCCAGCAGCCCTGGCCCATGGCAGCCCGAGCGAGGGCGCCGCCCATCATCTCCTGAGAGGGGGCCAGGGCCTTTCGGCGCCTCGGGGGGAGGGAGGGGAGGGGCAGTGTCGGGCCGGACGAGAGGCGGGAGGGGAGAGGGCAAGGCGTGGGGGGGGGGAGGGGCAGAAGTTGATGCATGCAGCCGGTCGGCTTCTCCCTCCCGCCGGGCGCCCTTGCTCGATGCGTGGGCGCGCCCCCCCGCGCCAGGAGGCGTCGGCGAAGGCAGGTGCTCGAGCTGCTTCGCTGGCTTCCCAGTCGCTGACCCCCCCCCCGGTCGTCCGACCCAGCGGCGGTAGGAGGTGATGAGCTCCGCCCCCGCCCCCGCCCAGCACCCTGTCGCCCAGAGGCCCCCAGGGGCTCCCGGAGGCCTCCAGAGCCGCCCCCAGATGCTCTCGTGTGGAGGTGGACAGACCTCCCACCCTGACACGTCGATGAAGGAATTGACCGCTTTCGGTTCGCGAGAGGGCATCGCGGCCGTCACTTTTGCGGGCCCAGCTCCGTCGATGTCGGTCCCAGGCCGTTTTCACGAAGGGGAGGTTTACTGAAGTCGGGCCGGACGAAAGGGGGGGATTGGGAAAGGGGGGGTTACGAAATTTGCTGCATGCAGCTGGTTTCGACCTCACCGAGGGGCCCATTCCTCGATACATGGTCGCCTCCGGCGCCTGGAGGCTCCGGGAAAATCAGCTACGTGAGCTGATTCTCACCCCCCCCCTTCCTATCCCCCCCTTTCGCCCGACTCGATAAAGGGAGGTTTGTCCACCGCCGGCTCGCGGCTTGTGTAAAGGTCCGGTGGGGCCCAGAAGCCGCCCTGCCCTCGAGCTCGCGGGGGCGGAGGGCAGGGCTCGGCAGCGGGAGGAGGGCGGAGCCCCCCCCGTGCGGCCCGACGAGCGCGCCGTCCCCGCTCGGTCCCCCCCCCGCGGGAGGGGGCCGGAGGCCTCGGCGCGTCGCCATTCAGCGAGCGAAGAACGGTATAAGATAAAGTGTTCCGCCGTCGGGGACACCTGCCCCTGGGCGGCTGGAAAGTTTATACCCCTACGGTGCCACCGTAAGGGTATAAACTTTCCAGCCGCCCTGGGGCAGGTGTCCCCGACGGCGAAACAGTTTATTTTATACCGTTCTTCGCCCGTTAAGCCATGGGGCGCGCGAGTGCGGCACGCGCGCCCCGACTGCACGCACCCTTGCGTCGGGCACGTCCCTCTACAGGAGGAATGTTCAAAAACAGGTTTAAATTCGTCTGGGGACGATTTGTTTTGCATTTTTGTTTGCTATCTTCTAGTGTTGTTTTAGATGTTTGTGATTTGTCGTCCAAAATCCCCCTGCAGGGGGGCATGCCCGACCTAAACGTGCCCATCGGTCGATGAAGGTAGGCATTTCTGGAGTCCCAGGTTCAGATCTACTTTCAGCGCCTTCCTGCTGCAGTGATCGAGTGGCTTCACCTGTTCCGCCCTCTTCAGGGGGCGGACGGACACCCAATCTACTTTCAGCGTCTTCCTACTCCGTGTTTCTACCTGCTTCTTCCGACCGATGGGCAAGAGTGGCCCTTCGCCCGAGTGACCCTCTGCTGCGGGCTCACCGCGGCCCCCCCGATCGATGAGCGCGAGGCGGTGGCAGCGGCCTGCGCGCTTTTGCGCGTGGTCTCCTCGCGCCCCCCGTAGGCCGCGCACCAAAGGCCACGACGACGACGACGACGACGACGACGACGACGACGACGACGACGACGACGACGACGACGAGCGACGGCAGCGCCGCGCGCCCGCGCCGGGGGAAAAATGGCTGTGGGTGTGAGGCCACGCCCCAGGGTTGCATCGGAGCCTTCACGGGACTGGCCGGTCACGGGGCTCTTCGCGCAGCGGCGCCCCCGCCCCTTTCCGACGTCGCCTCGGAGCCCCAGTTGCGGCAGCGGCCCCGTCAGGAGGCAGCTCTGGATGGGGGCGGTGGGGGGGGGGGCTGGCGGCCAGAGCTCTCCCAGGGTCCATTCGGTGCAGTTCTGCACCCTGGAGCCGTGCTTGACAGCCCCAAAGGGCCCCCAGATACCGAACACGGGAAACAGACTTTGTCGGACCCAGCACCTGGTGCAACTGTTCACCCGGAACCCGTTTCTGACGGCCCCAGACGGCCCCCAGACACCGCAGACAGGAAAAAAACCTTGTTGGACCCAGCACCTCGACCCTGCCCCTCCCCTACCTCCCGCTGGCCGGACTGCTGAATCGATCCGGCAAGCTCTGGTTCAGGAGGGTTGCAGGGCCACGCTTGCGTGCACAGTTGAGCGCCCCGGCACGGCGGAGCTGGGCCGCGAGGGGCCTTCCCCCCCGGGGAGGGGGCGTGGGGCAGGGGCAGGCCGCGGTTGCGTAATGCGTGGGCGATAGACGAGGGGGGGGTGCAAACAAGTGGCACGTGTGCCATAACCCTTGCACAAAAAGGAAAGGGGAGGAGGAGGAGGAGGAGGAGGAAGAGGAGGAGGAGGAGGTCCGTAGCCATTTTGGCTCAAGGCTAAACGTTGTGAAGGGGTATAGACGCCCGACAACCAGCGAGTAGCTTTGGGGACGTACGTAGCCCAGGGCGGCTCAAAGCCCACCATTCTCCACGAGGTCGCAGCCGCCTAGTCGCCCTTCCTCTCGCTCTCCTTCCAGTCCCAGTTCTCAGTCATGCGCGCTGCCTCATCAGCGGCCACCTCCATCGGCTCCGCAACACCGCCAGGTAGCCCTGCAGATGAACGTGCAGGCGGCAACCCCCCGAAGCTCGCCCGTACGGGAGAGTCAGATGCGGAGCTCCGTGCCTATGTGGACAAAACTCGTTTTGATCTTATGGGTGCTATCAACAATCTCAAGTCAGGCATATCCGAGATCTCCCAGAACGTGGACGGCCACTTCAACGGCCTCAACCTGCAGATCGAGCAGCGCTTTGCTGGCATCGAGGGCAGGCTCGCCACACACGACAAATCGATCGGAGATATGCAGTCGGAGATCGAAGACCTTCGCAGAATCCTCAACGCCGTCAGGGCCGAGCCAGTGCAGCAGCAGGATCACGTCTCGCCCAGTTTCAGCAGGGCCCCAGACCCGACGATCATCGTGGTCCGTGCTCAAGCTCTGGTCACCAAACAACGAGTGGCTGATGCAATCGCCCCGTAGTTGGCGTTTTGTGCACTCGAAGTGGATGAGTGGGAAATCGTGGGAGAAGCAGCAGGACGACGGTTTAATGCACAGATCACTGGAGCCAAAGGATACGCCGCCCGTAAGGTGGCTCAATGTCTTGGGAACATCAAGCTCGCGAACAATGAGTACAGGTCGTTCAGCACACGTGACGCTGGAGGCACGCCCGTTCCTATTTACGTCTCAGCGGGTAAAAATCTTTGTCAGATCAAGCGCGAGCTGTACACGAAACAGGCTCGCAAGCTGTTGTCCGAATCTTATCCTGACAAGCGCTTCTCCACAGACCGCATCAAAGGTGAGGTCTCTTGCCAATGGAAGCCAATATGCCGTATCACCCCCAGAGCAGACCACCAGCCACTCATCGAGTGGGATCATTCCAGCTGCGCCGCGCTCGGGATCAACCGTGCCGAGCTCAGCCAGAAGCTCTCCGACCTCGTCAGCGGCCCATCGAACGAGGCCCAGTGGCAGGTTTAGCAATACGTTTGCCTTCCCCCCTTCCGACCTCTTCTAAGAACATGGCCCTTCAGTTCTCTACTTGGAATGTTAGAGCTCTCTATCACTTTGACCCTGGTACCCGCTCCCTCAAAGCCGACTACCCCCGTCCCCATCTCAGAGGCTTGCATGTCATAGTTGTTCAGGAAACTCACGGAGACGTTGAGGAGATTCAGGACTTCTTGCATTTCTCGAACCGTAAGTACCAAGCTACGTTCTCCAACTTTCCCGGCTCCCGCAGGAAAGGTGGCGCGGCGATGTTATGTCCTATTCCTTCTCCCTCGTTTGGCTTTGGCGAACCTTCCAGTGCCACAGGCGCTGCTCTGGTGATGGGCAGAGCGTTTTATACCCGTGTGCAGCTCGGCTCTAGGCGGCAGGGGTGCTCTGAGATTTTCGCCATGCACCACTACAATATGCACAATTGTGGATTGGCTGCGGAGGAGGTGGGAGATATCACTGATCACATCAGCACATCGTTGGAATATGCCCGCACGCAACATGACAGACACACGGTGGCAGTGGCTGGTGATTTCAATTTCTCGAGCGAGCCGCCGACGCCGACAGTTCCGCCTCCAAAGTTTACGCCTGCGCTGGCCGTGCAGGAGTGGCACCGCACCCGCGACTGTGGGCGGCGGCAAACATTGGGAGCCATGATTGAGATCGACACACCCGACCCCGCCCACTACAATGGGACCCACGACCATTCGTCAAAAATCGATCGGTTATTCTTTTCGGGACCCAGCTGGGAACTTACACAGATGTCAGTCACGGCTTCCATAATTGAGTCTCCTGAAGCTCTGGAGCAGCGTGGCGTGTCCGACCATGCCATGCTGCAGGCGGCGCTTCGATTTCGGCCTTCTCCTGATCCTGATTCCCAACCCATGCCCCAGCACATGTTTCATCACCCCCGCTATCTCGAGCACGTTACAACAGCATGGAAGAACATTGATAAGACAAACCTCACACCTCCTATTGAGCTACGATTACATAAAGAAGTTATGAAAGAAGGTGCCCGACACGCTCGCGAAAGTTTCCTCAGAGGCAACCCGCAGGGCCCCAAGCGCAAGATCCTCCTGCTCCGGGCTATCGCTAGAACGGTTTGGCGCCAGGACTTCAAAGGCGCTTCGGAGCTTCTCCAGCATGATCTTGGGCAACAGTTTTTGGACTTGGACTTATCCGCCCCATCCGTTTCCATCCGCTCCCACCCTGACTTTTGCACGATGCTAGACTCGCTGCAGCTTGCCGACACTGAGCGCGAGCAAGCTGAAGTTCGCAAGCGCATTCAGGAGACCCCAGCGCCTGTGCAGCAGGCGAAGGCGCGTCGGAAACTACGGGCGCTGTCTCGACGAGCTTGCCCGTGGGCCCATTTCGACAAGCGGCTGCGTCTCTCGGGGCTGAAGATCGGCCAATATATTGTCTCATCTGAATCGGACATTCGAACTGGCATTGCAGAGCACTGGTCACACGTCTTTCAGCACAAGACAATTGACACTCAGGCTGCCGCCAGATGTCTCCAGAGATTCGCCCCCAAGATAGAATTGCCCGACTTACCGCCTCCCAGGATCCAGGACTTCCCGAAGATTCTTCAGAGCGTCTCCGACTCGGGCCCTGGCCCTGATAACATCCCCTACTCCGCCTGGCGCGCGGCTCCAGAGGCTATCGGCATATTAGATAAGGTTTGCTGGTGGCAACTTCGGGGACATCATATGCCACATGGATATAATGCTCTTCTGGATATCTTTATTCCGAAACCTGTTGGCGAAGAGGACCAGGCCTCCCAAGGTTGCATTCGTCCTGCTAGTGGCCTCCGCCTTTTAGGCTTAAAGAACACCGATAACAAGATCATCACGGCCGTGGCATTTCAACAGTTATCCCGAGAATTACCGAAGTGTATATCCAAAATACAAAGAGGCGTTGTTCAAGGCCGCAACTTCTGTCAAAACATTGCTGAACTCGACGGCCATGCCCGACTGCATTCAGCTGGCCCGCGAGCCCTTTCGCTCAAGCCGGCCCTGGTAAGCTACGACTACGGCGCCGCGTTTCCGAGCCTCGCCCACGAATGGCTGCGCATGGCACTGAAGTCATGCACGCGACCGTTGCCTCTCATCTTCTTCGTTACTGAACTTTATCGTGGTAGTGTTTGCTATGGATCTGCACCTCCTCAACTGGCGATCTTATTTGTGATAATGCGTAGGATTGTGCAGGGATGCCCTGCTTCGGGTGCCCTCTTTGCCATTGCTGCCGACCCATTTCTTCAGGACATGGCTAAAAATGCTGACAGGCGTGAGCTCGGCATTGCGCGGGCCTGCGCGGACGACGCGGGCGCTGCTATCAGATCCATCACCACCCTGAAGACCCTCGCGCGGATCTTTGCTGTCGCTGCTCGAGTGGCCTCCCTCGTGCTGAAATGCTCGAAGTGCGCGGTCGTTCCCCTCTGCGCCGCTTTCTCGGAGCCCATCAGATTGGAGCATGAATCATGGATTGCTGAAAATCTACCTGCCTGGAGTGAGTTCCCTGTTCGAGCTCAACTGAAGTATTTAGGTCTCTGGCTCGGCCCCAGTGTCACTAACGAATCCTGGAAAGAGCCTTTCGCTTAATGGGTTGACCGTGGGTTCCCTCTGGCCGCTCAGGGTGCCCCTGCGGGGGTTGTTCGTATTTATACGACTCTCGCGTGGCGAGTGTCTTGTCTTACGTCTCTCACTTCCCCCCTCCGCCTGCCAACCTCCCCCACCAAGAAAGTGTGGCGATCGCTCGCCTGCTGAAGATACCGCATTGCGCCCTGCCACGCTCTGGCCAGCTCTCGCTCCGCGCTTGGGGTGGCCCGAAGTTTTCTCGTTTGGCGTCCACTTGTTACGCTTCCCTAATCCGTGCCAGCAAACCCACCCTCGTGATTTGGGCGGATGTCTTAAGAGTTCTCGAAGATGGTGAGGAGCGCCACATTCGAGAGAGAACCCTTGCCAGCCTCCGTTTTCAGATGCTGTGCCCCTCCTTCTGGAAGCAACCCGCGTTTGCAGAGTTTCTGGCGGCGGCCCCCCGTGGCTTCCCCGAAGAAATTGGATCTGGGCTGCTCACCTCGCCCCGCTCCTCGCGCGTTCGATTAGCTGCTGCTGCGCGCGCTGCTCTCACCTCTCTCCGTGTTCGCACGCCAGAGGATGAGCAAGGCCGAAAGATCAGAATCCAACGGATCGTCGCGCAAGAGATGCGACTCTGTCTTCACCCCGAATGTCTGACTGAAGTATTCTCGCAGCGTCTCTCTTCTTGGCTCCCCATGTCCATTGCCGAGGCGCGTGATTTGCCCTGGCCAGAGATTCAGCCCATCATTGCTGCATTGTCTGTGCCCAAAGCGGTTGCTGTCTTAAAATTTATGATGCACGGCTGGCCGACAGCCGAGAGATTTCAGCAGCGCGAATTGCGCTGCCTCAGATGTGCTCCACACTGTCCAGATTCTCAGGCCCACTATTGGTCTTGTCCTCTCTTTCTCGCCCTGCTGTCGAACGTTGTTGGTGTCCATGTCCCCCCCCCCCCCATCCTGTCCCATTGCCCGCTCTGGCCTTCGCCACCCGTCCAAATCTTCCATGCTCACTCTTTGCGCTGCAACAATGTTGCACCTCGCTCCCCATGCTTGCGCCCACGGAGTGCACCTCAACTTTCAAACTGCGGAGCGTATAGTTCCGACGGTGCAATTCCAGTGGCGGCGCGGCGGCGGTGGTCAAGCGGATCACGAACCTGATGCGCCAGGCACGTGCGAGGAGGATGGGGGAGGAGGAGGAGGAGGAGGAGGAGGTGGAGGAGGAGGGGGTGAGAGGGGGCAAGGCATCGCCCTCTGGGCCCAGCAACGGGGCCCAAGCCCCAGGTGGGGAGGGTGGGGGAGGCGGCGCGCGTCGCGACGCGGAATAAAGTGCTCGGAGCGGAGGGGGCACGGGGCGGAGGTCCCACAGGGGCGCTGGGGGCGCGGAGAGGAGGGGGGGGGGGGTACGGCCGACCAGGAGGGGATACCGGTATCCGACCTCATACCCTTCTCTTTCTTTCATATCATCTTGTGACCTTCCAGGGCCCTCCTCCCTCCTTCTCCTCTCACTCCACTTCCTTCTCCTCCTCCTCTCCTCTCCTCCTGCCTCTCCCTGCTCCTGCTCCTCCTCCTCCTGCCTCTCACTGTCACTGCTCCTGCTCCTCCTCCTCCTTCCTCCTCCTCCCCCCCTTCGCCTCCCCCTCCTTTTCTTCCTTCAGCCTGGTTTTCGGGGTCTCCAGACCTTGGGATTTTTAAAATTTTAAAAATTTTAAAAATTTAAAACACTTTTGAATTTTTAAAATTTTTTAAATTTTTAAAAATTTAAAAGTTTGGGGGGTCCGGAGTTTCTGGGGGGTCCTGGCCGCCTGGTTTGCGGATTTCCCAGGCCCTGGGATGTTTAGAAATTTTAAAATTTAAAAAATTTTAAAAATTTAAAAACACTTTTGAATTTTTAAAATTTTTAAAATTTTTAAAAAATTTAAAAGTTTGGGAGGTCCGGAGTTTCTGGGGGTCCTGGCCGCCTGGTTTGCGGATTTCCCAGGCCCTGGGATGTTTAGAAATTTTAAAAATTTTAAAAATTTAAAACACTTTTGAATTTTTAAAATTTTTGAAAAATTTAAAAGTTTGGGAGGTCCGGAGTTTCTGGGGGGTCCTGGCCGCCTGGTTTGCAGATTTCCCAGGCGACTCCCCCCCAGGCGTGTAACGGTGCAGTTTAACAGAAACGGTCTTCAAGATTTTCTGCTACCTCTGGGAGGTTGGATTGGACCCCGACTCCGAACCCAACGCCGACGACGCCGCCGCCGCCGACGACGACGACGGCGGCGGCGGCAGCGGCGGCGACGGTGGTGGCGGCGAGGAGGGGATACCGGTATCCGACCTCATACCCTTCTCTTTCTTTCATATCATCTTGTGACCTTCCAGGGCCCTCCTCCCTCCTTCTCCTCTCACTCCACTTCCTTCTCCTCCT